TTCGGCCTTTCACCGCCGCCTGTAGCAATTGGTTTGGAAGAGCACTTGCTGAGATTGCCGCGGTTGGCCCGAACCAGCAGCCCAGCGGCAGAGACCGATCTCACGCAGGTCTTTGAAACTTGGAAATCCATGCCAGGCTGGATTGGATGGGATGATGCAGTGTTCAAGGTCCTATCTGCGGCGTCTCTGTTTAGAGCGCAGCTGCTGGTGGACATGGCTTATTGCTGCAGTTGGCAAGATAAATTGCAAGCCATGCATGGTCCTTTGCATTTGTGGCGAAGTATCCTCATTTTAGCCCTCAGCGTACACCCTAAGCCCCCAAAGCCCTAAAGCTTCTCTGATACCAGAGTTACACTCACCCTAAACCCTATATCCTAGACCCTAAACCCTAAACCCTAAGCCCCAAAAGCCGCCTTCCGACCAAAGGAGCGGGCGCGCTCTCCAAGGAGGACATCCATTGCGACTTCGGAGCCGATCATTTCGACTTAAAGCCACTTGGGCGAAGGAAAACTGTAGGTTTAGGGTTTAGAGTTTAGGGTTTGGGGTTTAGGATTTAGGATTCATAGGGTTTAGGTGTTCAGGGGTTTAGGGTTTTATGGTTTAGGGGCTTAGGGGCTAAGGCCACTTGGGGCGAAGGATCGGGCTTTAGAGTTTGGGGTTTAGGATTTATGGGATTTATAGGGTCTAGGGTTTAGGACTTATAGGGTTTAGGGTTTATAGGGTTTAGGCTTTATAGGTTTAGAGTTTAGGGTTTAGGATTTATAGGGTTTAGGATTTAGGGTTTGGGGTCTTTGTAGGCTTTGGGATTTAGGGGTTTAGGCATGGTGTCGTGGAATTTTGAGTTCAGTTTGGGCCTTCGAATCTAGAATCGAGGGTGCAGGGTCTTGGGTTCGAGGCTAGGTCAGAGCTTAGGATTCAGGGGTTAATACAGGGCCTTAATAATTAGAATAAGGTTTGGGATAGATTATGCTATACTTATTATTTCGAACCCTAAAGCCCTATTCTAATTCTTAAAGGCCCTTGCATTAGGGTAGAAGGAGGGCTCAGTAAGGTGGCACAGCACTTTCAAACAAGGCCAGGAATCCGGGTTGATGGACTCACCCGAAACCACAAAAGCCCAAGTTATAGAACCCACATAGAAGCCCCATAAAGCGCTCTGAAATCGGATTTTGAGGCTTTGTGGTTTAGGGCTAAGGGATTTAGGGACGTAGCAGTTTTGACCCACAGTCGGCCATTCAAGGTTTGGGGTTGTCTTTAGGATTTAAGCCGGAAGCCCTACTTAAAGGATCATGGGGCTTAACTTGGGTCATTATTCGGGTAACTATACTTATAATCTACTTGCAACCCTAATTATAATTCAGGTACTTCTTGCTAAGTCCCATGATCCTCCAAGTAAACCCACAAATCCTGAAACCCTCGACTGTAGTTTAGGTTATCTGAGCCTTGCTTGTGACTTTGAGGTTCGATTAAAAGCAAGTTTGGTGTCAATGCTCAGAAAAAAATTACGTCGCGGTGCAGGGGTATAGGGACCAAGGACGGCTTTGGGTGTAGCGAGTTCAGTGGTTTGGGGGCACTCTGTTCTGATTTAAGACCCTAAGCCCCTAAACCCTAAACCCTAACCCCTAAACCCTCAACCCTGAACCCTAAACCCTAAAACCCTAAATCCTTGCAGGATGTCTGTACCCCCTTAATTGCGGAATGTAGCCGTGAATTGAATTAAATGTGGGTTCCTACTAATTAGAACCTAAGGTCTTAACTAGGGGGCTTTGGCCCTAAACCCCTAAACCCCAAACCCTAAGGGGTTTTGGAGTCCGTGGTTGAGCATCGACGTTTGAGTGAGTGGAGTGCTGAGGATTTGGAACGTGGAGTGGCCCGAGGACCAGACGGTTTAGGGAGGGCTTAGAGCTCAGGGTTGTAAAGTTTTGCAAGGCCCTAAACCCTAAACCCCTGGAGCCCTAAACCCTAGAACCCTCGAGCCCTAGACCCTAGAACCCTAGAGCCCTAAACCCTAGAGCCCTAGAGCCCTAAACCCTAAGCCATTAGCCTGAGAGCTTAGACTCTTGAACCCTGAACCCTAAGAGTGTTCTTGGGCGACTTGGGCTCTCGCAGGCTGAACAGGTTCTGCAAGACCTTAGTGCCGAACGCTTTTGCCCCTGGCTGTTGTAGCCACATGCCTTGGGGTTTAGGGGTTAGGGATTTACAGGCTGCTGTGTCAGCATGAGACTGGTGACGGCAAGTGTCCAAGTGTCCGTACTTCCCGCCTACTGTCCTAAATGTTAATGTTGAGAGGGGACTAGCTAATTAGTATAAGACTATAATTGCACTAGTAATGTTTTTCAGGTAGCGTCACCCATTCTCCCAAACCCCGAACACTCGTTGCCGGCAGTCTCCCCAAGCTACAGGGCTAAGGCACACAAGTGGCACAATCGTTGGAATTAAAGCCTACGGGGTCCAAGAAGATGAAGAAAGCCTCTATGTTGTCCAGTTTCCAATATTTAGTTGGGCACCCCTGTGAGTCGTACCGCTACTACCAATACATCAGCTGTAGCGGCAACAACAACGACGACAACGAGAAATAATGACAACGACGAAACACACCGCTGGCCGCGGTTGCAGCAAAGATAATCCTCCTCCTCTTCCTCCTACTCAATTCATGCTACACATACCTACTCCAATGCCCACCCCAACGACGACTGTGGCTACTGATTCTACGACGACGACCAGGAAACTATCCACTACCACCTCCACTCCACTACCACTGCTACCACCCACCACTGCCACTGCCACCGCCACCACCACCGCAACTCCGCGACCACTACCACCACGACTACCAGTACATTTACCACCACCGCCACGACTCCTCCTCCTCTTGCTACTACTGGTCCCACTACTATCACTACCACTGCCACTATGGCCACAACAACAACTACTACTGCTGTTGCTACTACCACTATTACTCAATATCAACGACACTGCAACTTGTGCAGCATGTGCTGAGGCGATGACACTGACATGTACCACCACTACTACCGCCACCGACACACGACGATCGTTAGGGTTAGTTACCCTCCCAAAATACATCATCTGGCCATTTCTTGATGGTCAGAAACTGCGGTGATCATTTCGTCCAGCTCTGGTGCTTCACGCATGTGCCGTGTGTTTGCATGAGCGAATCTATGCGCGCGCGTGCGCGCGCGTGTGTGTGTGTATATATAAGTTGAGTTTTAATGTGTCTGTCGGGATGTCTCATTGTTTGAGTTAGTGTTTGCCCCTTATAGATCCGGTCCATTAATAGCATTACTATTACTGTTGTTGTTGTTGTTGTTGTTGTTGTGGTGGTGGTGGTGGTGGTGGTGGTGGTGGTGGTGGTTGTGGTGAAGGTGGTTCAATGTTGTTGTTGTTGTTGTTGTTGTTGTTGTTGTTGTTGTTGCTCAGTTCATCGGCAGGCACAGGTATAATTACTGCGGTTTGCCTTTCGTTAATACTGTATTAGCTGCTGTATTCGGTTGTTTCCTACAAGCTCCAAGCCATGCGTAGGATCCCGGCGTGAAGTATCACCACCGCGTACGGAAGACTCGGCTGATGCGGGACGTCCAACAGGGAACCGGGGGGGCACTCCATAGTGTTGATGATATAAATCCTGCATTACCTTAAGGACCCTAAACTATGGGAATTCTGGCCTATTCCTTATTATGGGTAATGCAGGATTTATATCATCAACCATAGTGAGAAGGAGCATGGAGGGACCACCTCGCAAACCTGGCTAAGCCCAAGCCTGAAGCGTCGAAGCCCTAAACCCCCCCAAACCCTGCTACACCTAAAGCCTGAACCCGTAATCGAAAGCTATAAGAAGTTAGGGTTTGGGGTTTAGGGCAGGGGCTTTAAGAAGTTAGGGTTTAGGGTTTAGGGGTTATAAGAAGTAAGGGTTTAGGGTTTAGGAGCCATAAGAAGTTAGGGTTTAGGGTTTATGGGCTATAAGAAGTTAGGGTTTATAGGGTTTAGGGGCTAGAAGAAGTTAGCCGACAATCCGAGGCAAAAGCCTTAACACGGAAACCCCCAAGCTTGGGCTCCCGAAACGAGACGTTTACATAGGGTTTAGGGTTCGGGGTCTACTATAAGAGCTTAAATAGTTACCGAGACTATTTTTGGGGTTCCTTACTATGATTATGACTCTATTATTCCCCCGAACCCCATTCCAATTATTAAGGCTCCTCTTTTAGGGTTTATACGGGTCTAGGGTTTACGGGTCTGGGGTTTAGGGTCTAGGGTTTCGGGTCCAGTGGTCTAGGTCTATTAGGGTCCAGGGTTTAGGGTTATGGGGTTGACTTTTCGGAGCTTCGGGCGTGGACGGACAAGTCCCAAAGTCTTGCATTGCTTCGAGTACCCTAAACATTTTGGGGGTTTAGGAGTCGTGGGTTTAGGGATGTGCTCGAGCTGTGCAGTTTGCGTTGTGGGCCGGGTTTGAATGATATCTAAGTCTAGTGGGGTCCCGGCCACGTCACTCCCCCTCAGTTGAGAGTTTGTCATCTGCAATCTCAGCAATGCCGATTCTTCCGTTCAACAAAGGCGGCTGTCCGAACTTATTCTGAGCTTCCTGTGTAGGGGTTTAGTGGAGGGTTCCGGGAACCTTCCTCGCAGGGGCTTTGAATGCATTAGCCGCTCCCACCACCCAAAGATCCTATAAAACGTAACCCCGCAACCCCGAGACCCTGAACCCCTAAACCCTAAACCCTAAATCCTAAACCCTAAACCCCTAAACCCCTAAACCGTACTCTGAAACCCTCAAGCCTTGAAGAAAAGAAGCCGCTACCCCCAAACTCTGAGCCGCACAGACCTTCAGGACATCGAGCCGCAACGGAGCTTCGTTGAAGCCGAAGGCTCTTACTTTGTCATAGTTGGGTAACATTTTACATTTTTAAGGGTACTTAAACCCAATAAGGAATATACATTTAAATTTTTAATACTACCCCAACCATGAGCTAGCTTGTGTTTTGTTTTTTCTGTTGAAGGGGGCGGGGGGGCTTTGGATTGCCAGGGACGTCTATTGAGGTCTCAGGGCTCAGGATTCGAGGTTCAAGATTCCTCTCAAGGGTTTAGGGTTTAGGGTTTAGGGTTTAGGGTTTAGGGTTTAGGGTTTAGGGCTGCTTTGCGTGTGGATCACATCAGAGCGGTGCGCATATCACCAGGTGGGTTGTGTGGCTCCAGTGTGCATCGAGAGAACCTTTAGTTTGCACCCTGGACATGAAACACACAACTAGGCCCTTTGAAAGGATGTGCATTGCTTTCTTTTCAATCGGGGTTCGGGTTGGGGAGAGGGTTTTTGTTGGGTTATGGTTTGAGGGCCGGAAATACTGCTTGTCTAAGGGCTTTAGGAGGGACCCTGAACAGGGACCCTTGTAGGTTATTGGGGTTAATATGGAGACTACCTGGCTATATAAGGGGTATATAAGGACTATACATGGTGATTTCAGGTAATGGGATTAAGGGTCCCTATTATGGGTCCCTCCAAAAATCCTTAGAGCTTGTGTTGTTTAGCGTTTGGACTCAGGGTTTCGGGTTTGGGTTGGTCGCCCTAAACTGCCCTAAATCCCCGAACATCTAAGCCCAAACCCGGTTTAGGGTTTAGGGTTCCTAACCTCTTTAACCAAACCCAACACCTCTTAAACAAAACGCGAAACTGCTTTAAACCCCAATTGAAGGTTGCAGTTAGCGTGTTAGGGCCTTTTCTCGCCCAGCTCTTGAAGTCCTCTTTAAAACCTGATGTTTTTAGTGCGGTCCCTCTGAATTCTATACTAGGGTTCATGATAAGAACCTACACAAGCAGTAGGTTGTGGTAGGTTTAGGCTTTCGGGTCCCTCAAGCCCTGACCCTGAACTGGGAAGCTCTAAAAGCACTAAATCTTAAGGTTTAGGGTTTATGCGAGTTGCCCTCACGCAGTCACTGGTTCAGGATTGAGGGTTCAGGATTGACTTAGGGTTTAGGGGTTTCGGGTTCAGGTTTTAGGATTTAGGGTTTAGGATTTTGGGGTTGGGTTTGGGATTTTAGGGTTTAGGGGTTTGGGGCTTCGGGTTTAGGGTTCAAGGTTTTGGGGTTAGGGTTGCGGGTTCAGAGTTTTGGCCCGCCGATGCAAGTGGTGTTCGCTCTAGTTGTCCCTGTTGGGTTGTACTGCTTTGTTGTACTTCTATAGCTGCTATCGTGCATTCTGAGTTCTGAGTCCTGAGTTCTACCGCCAATGCCACACGTATCAGTGCAAGACAGCTGTTTCGTTGTAATGGCTTGCTGCCTGTAGCCATTTCAAGCACACAAGGGTCAACTCAACTTGCGGGCAAAGCGACAAGCCATGGTGCCGAGCCTTATTCTCATGCTGCTTCTTGGAAGCCAATTGGTTTCGGAAATGCTGAGCCTAAAGCCCACAGCGAGGCAGTGAGGAAGTGTAGTTTGCAGGATTCTGAACTCTAGCCTGCCTGAGAGAGTTCAGCCCCCGGGCAGAAGCTGATAAGCGAAACTTATAGCTGAGTGAGCATGCTTCCTTGCTTCACTTGCTGTGGACCTGTGCTTGGGTTGTATCCAGAAGAGTGGGAGTTTGACCGTAACCAAACCCTAAACCCTAAACCCCCGCTAAACCCTAAATCCCTAAACCCAAACCCTAACCCTGGATCACGATTAGTAGACATATTCTGAAATCCCACCTCCATCCCCACTCTGATGTGATACAGAGTGCATGTTCGTCTATCTGGCTGATTCGTTCTATCTAACTATCCATTCATTCATCCATCCATCTATCCATCTATCTATCCTCTATCTATCTGTCTACCTGTGTATCTGTCTATCTACCTATCCATCTATCGATCTATTATCTTATCGATCTATCTATCTATCTATCTATCTATCTATCTATTTAGTAGGAAGTCAACTAGAGATTCACGGTCCACAACTACTACTGCAGGACAAGAGGCATGAAAGGACCAGAGTTGGAACTTTTTTAAGAGCCAACATAAGGACCTATGAAGCAGATCAGTAAGTTCTAAAACCCCCTACCATCCTTCAAAGTGTTTTGCAGCAGTCTGCCTCTTCTTCTACATACAGCCGCCGTATCAAGCATGCGGCGAACACTAGCGAAGAGCATCCCTAGTATCTGCCGTTCCACAAGAGCTTCCTACCTCAGACTTCGCAAGCCCTGCAAGTCTGGGCCAGAGTCTGGGCACATGTCATAAACCTGCGGCACGAAGCGGAGACAGGTTCTACAACCCACAGATGTTTGCCAGTTTCTGAAAGAAGAACCCAAAACCCTAAGACTGCGAAGCCCAAACCACGTAAAGTACGTCACCCTACAAGCCCCAAAGCCATAAAACCTGAAAACCCTGAAGCCCTAAACCGAAGAACCCTCAAACCCCTAAAGCCCCAAACCCTGAAGCCCTCAAATCCTAGCGTTTAAGCACGAAGACGATAGCCACGATGACATCGACGACGATGTGATAGCAGCTGTGATGACGATGATCATACACAATGGCGCCGCATGTCCCTCGAAGCCAAGAAGTGGGATACCGCTGCGGAGATCATCCGGTTTCACTTGCAGTGGCGAAGGGGCGATCTGCAAGCAGTTGCTGCGCACGGACCTTCTTCCGCACACCTTTCGTCGCCTCACAAGACCCTAAACCCTTAACCCTTAACAAGCTTGCCCCAACCTTCAGAGTCGTTGGCCCCACTCATTGTGGGTGTTTTTGGGGGGCTGGTGCCTTAACTAAGGAATATATCATTTTGCTATACCTTCACTGATTATTAGTAGGAGCCCTAGTAAGACTAACGGCAGATTTCTAAATCAAGGGGGTTTTGGCTGAAATACCCTTACTACAGGAATCCTTAAAGGAACTCTTAATCCCCAGACCCCTCATCCTAAACCCTAAACCATGAACCCTAAACCCTAAACCTTAGACTCTAAGTCCTAAACCCTAAACCCTAAGCCTTAGACTCTAAATCCTGGGCCCTAAACCTTGAGCCCTGAACCCTAGACCCTAAACTCTAAATCCTTTGAACCCTGAACCCTAGACCCTAAACAGGTAGACCCCCAAGCCTAAACCCTATAACCCTAAAGGCCCTAAACCCTAAAGGCCCTAAACCCTAAACTGTTAAACCGTAGACTCTAAACCCAATTTAGGGGTTCTTGGAGCCTCGGAACCGCTCCTGAGGCTCCCGCTGTGCGCAGCGCAGCAAGCCGGAACGCTGAAGACGGAAGGCGGCGGCTTAGGGTTCAGGGTTTAGGGTTTAGGGTTTAGAGTAGGTTCCTTTAAAGGGTTCCTTAAAAGGGATGCTATAAGGGTTACTATATAGGATATAGTGTAGGGCCTTTTTAATTAGACCATGGGCTCCTGTAAAGGGTTCCTTAAAAGGGATGCTATAAGGGTTACTACAAGGATATAACCTTAATAAAGAATACTATGGGCTCCTTTAAAGGGTTCCTTAAACGGGACGCTATAAGGGTTACTATAAGGATCTAATATAGGGGCCTGACTAGGATTTTGGGGTGTGTAGTATGTTGTAGTTTTAATAGGGAACCTCCAAACTAGTATAGGTACTTATTAAGGCCCCAATATTAACTACGAGAGGGGTCCCTCTTTGAGGGTTTAGGGTTCGGTCCCTTTAAAGGGAGCCCTTTAGAACCCTCAAAGGAGCCACTATCTCGTAAAGGAGCGCGCTTATAGGAGCCTTATAGAACCCTGAAATGGATCCCTCTAAGTACTCATAACCATATAGGGTCTAGGGTTGAGGGCTTAGGGTTTAAGGCTTAGGGTATACTTAACTTACTAAGTCGTCCCACAACCACCCCCCTTATAGATCCCTTAAAGGAACCTCTTTTAATCAATCATACTCACAAATCAAAGTCCCAAGTATTACCCTTAAAGGGACCTGTATACAACCCCTAAAGATCCCTTAAAGGAACCCCTTACAGTACCCCTGAAGGGGGCACTATAGGGTTTTAAGTTTAAGGGTTTCTTGAAGGGTTTCTTTCAGGACATCATTGAAGCCTTAAAGGTTCCCTTTAAAGGGTTTCCTTGGGTTCTGTGATCTGGGGGTCGGAAGCCTAGGGTTTAGGGTTTACCCACATACAAGCCTCCCTTCTTGTAATACCTTATAGAAACCCCTATAGAAACCCTTATTGATCTTTTTAAGGAACCTTAAAACCCATGAAGGGCATGTTGGCAAGGGTTCTATAATCAAGACGTTTGTAAGGGTTCCCAAAATGGAGGGTTTAGGGTTTAGGGTTTAGGTTTTACGATAAGAGTTCTATGGCACCGGGCTCGGACAAGTAGACCCCATAAACCCTAAGCCCTAAACCCAAACCCGTTTGCTTAAGGGCCTTGTTATTGAGATCCCTGTTTCAACCCGCTGGTTTTTTTTTCATACAGGTCTGCAGTAGCAAGATCCCCTTGTTGTCTTGGCTCCCCGAGTTTGTGTAATCTGGGGGCCTAAATAATAATTGCAACTACTATTCTTGGGGTTCTTTATTTGAATTGTAGTGTAATGGGCCTCCTAATTATTAAGGCTTTTAAATTATGGGGATCTATGTGGTTCTGTAAGCATCGGTTGCTGGGTTTCTATTCATTTGGGCTTGTAAAGATCGGCCTTAACGCAAGGGTTTAGAAGGGCTTCCACAGAAATTTGCTATCCGTTCAGTGAACCCTAAACCCGAAACCCAAAAGCCCCAAACCCTAAACCCAAAAGCCACAAGCCCTAAACCCAAAAGCCACAAACCCTAAACCCAAAAGCCCCAAACCCCAAACCCACAAGCCCCAAACCCGAAACCCAAAAGCTCCAAACCCGAAGCCCACAAGCCCCAAACGCGAAACCCGAAAGCCCCAAACCCTGAAAAGTAGGGGGT